TATTGGTTTTTGTTGTGTTGTGGTACATATATATGTATTTTTTTACTTTTACTTTTCTTTTTCTTTTTCCTTCCCTTGTTGCTTTTCTAGCAAAAAGTCTTAGAGAATCGTGCATCTAACATGAGGGTTTAGGACGAAGAATAATGTATGTGGAAATATATTATATATTGTTAATTACTAATTTTCAAACTTCTAAGCTGACATAGAGATTAGCATAATTCTCAGCTTAAACTTCATAAAATAAGTGTAAGATGAAAGAACTGACACTTATCTCCATCTTATAATTATAATGTAATGTCATAATCATTAAAAGAAAAAAAAATTCAATTTTATGTTTTTAGTATTCATTTCTCACTCAAATTTTTTATATTATCAATATTTATGGTTCCATCTCAAAATTAAATCAATCGAAAATGAGAGGAGTAACTCACTTATATTATAAATGTTTGGAGATCAGCTCGATGAAAACTCACCTGGATTCTATGTGAGTCAGTTGACTTCGATTAAACCAAACCGACCCTGAGAGGAATGTGTCCATGATGGAATCGCCAGACGTTGTAGATGAACTTCCCCGACAAGAAGTTTAGTATTTATAGCTGACCGCATCATGGGCATGACCAACTTGAGGGCGAGGCAAGCTGAGAATAAGCTGAAACTTACAATTCAAAAACAAAGTCAAAGATTATTGGGTGTATCGCAGGGTGACTCTCAACGAGGACGTTGAGACTTTTCGAAAAAAAAATGTTTTTTTTTGGCTTAATCCGCACTAAAGATCAAGGAGTACAAGTGTACTCCGGCTAATAAGGGAAAGGTTTTTTTTTCTAATCCAAGTTTGACTCTGATTAGATCCTTAGTGCAAGTGCTAAGTAAGGACACTACCTTATGTAATGTAAAAAAAAAAATCAAGGAAAATAACGTCTAGTAAAAACGAACAAAGGTCTTACGACACGATCACTATATCTCTTTTTTTTCCTTTATCTATCCTCTTAGGTCATCCCTTATATTTTCAATGTAAGGTCCTTATCATGTCCCTTGAGATGCTTTTTTGGGTTTTGATGTCATATTAATATGAATGTTCATGCGGTTCCAATCCAAAACTAATTGAATACGACCAAGTAGCTCACCCATATTATAAATTTTTGTTAGGTCACTTATACTTTTCGAACAGATATTATATAACTATAAACAAATTCCCTTCCATTTGGATGGAATATTCTTATGACTCCTAGTTTGTTTTGCTTGAATGATAGGGTGAGATATATCTTTTTAAGAATACCTTTACTCTCATGTTTGTTTTCAAGCTTTAAGACATTTATGAATTTGAGAATCTAGACGATACTCATAGAATGATAGGCTTTCGAGATTCTCATCTCATCAGAGAATCTGATTATAATTATAACAATGTCATAAAGTAAAAATATAATGTTTGATTAATTTAACGTTCTCCTACCTAAATCATGAAAGGAGACACAACTTACGCACATTGTTACACATCTATCCTTAAAAGAGTTTTGGGCAATACAAATAATTCAACAATCAAAATTTTCGTAAATACCACAATTATTGACATCCTAGATTTTCTAATTAAGAAAAGAAAACACCCTTTTAAGGTATTAAACCAAAGACTAATTTTGACATGTAGCACAAGATAAAAGTATACAAATTAAGTGCAAAGTTTAAGAATCGAAGATAACATTTTACCCCTTTTTGAGTCAATAGTAATTAATTTAATTTCAAGATGAATTATGAACTAAAGATTTATGTAATGAACCAAGAATTTGGAAACTGGGTTTAATTAAAACTTTGGTATGCAAATTTACCTCTTTCCACTAGCTACATAAACATAATTGAAAAACCCCACTTTTTATACTACATCTACTAATTAACTTTTACACATATCATAAACTCAAACTAAAAATATACATTGCATAATTCAAGTGATCTCAAGAATCCATTCATTCACACAAATTCAAATACAAAATTACACACAAACTAAACTAGCATATATCCTAAACCTAGGCTTCATCATACAAAACAAACCCAAACTTCATAAAACCAAAGTCAAACATCCCTATATCCCTATCCCTAGGGCGATTAAAAAGTTGATAAGTCATGTTAAGTGAATTTATTTCAAAAGTCAGCAGAGAAAAGAGAAGATAATAAAAAATACATTGAAATAAGTGGAATGATCATAGTTATGAGAGGGCATTTGATAAATAAAAAAGCGATATAGAAAAGAAAAAGAAAAAAGAAGAATTGAAGGCTAAAGATAGGGAGATCAGAGTAGAGGGAGATGGATTAGGTGAGATTAGGGCAGGCAAAGGAATCTGAACCAAAGTCCTTCCTTCTGCTCCCCATTGCCGCTCTCTCCCTGCAAACAGCACAAGGCTCGAGCTCCCTCAGTACCGTACTTACACCTTACAAAAAGGTTTAATTTTTAAAACCCTAAAACCAAACCCTCTCCCTCAACCACACACAAAAACCAGCTTAATTTATTCACCAATATTCTAATGCTTTTTATATATATATAGACTAGAGAAGGAGAGATGCATGGATGGATGACATGGATGGATGACATGGACGACATGGATGACATGGATGTACGGACAGGGAAAAGCCATGTAGAAAGAAGAGAAAAGGGTGGTGTAGGTTGTGGATATGAGGATCTTTCAGTTTCCTTTCAATCTCTCTATGTTTGTCTCTCGTGGGGTGTCATGTCATGGATGTTTTTGTTGGTAGAAATCGATAAAGTTGACACCATTTTAAAGAAATGGTGTTACTTTTTTTTTTTCTCTCTCTTTAATTTGAAAGTTTTTTTTAAGTGATATGATGACCATTGAGCAGTGGCTTTGCCTTTTGCCTTTGGCTTCTCTTTGAGTTTCAAGTACTTGAGGAATTGACTCTAAAAAGCAGGGCGGTGGTCTTCCCCTACTTCCTTTACCTTTTACACCATCCATATTTAATAAATTAACTATCCCTTCACAACTCACATGCCTGATTTAATAACTCAAATTTGACTGAAACGAGTGAAAAAAATCATACCATATAATGAAATTTGTAGTTTGAATTGGGATAAAAGGTATGGACCCAATCTAAAAAGAGAGAGAATGTTAGTTTGTGAGTTAAAAATGTTATTACTTACCTTTTCCTTATAGGAGAAGAATCTCATTCCCCTATATTGAGAAATCACTCATATTTTAGTATGACATGACCTACGAAGTCAAGAATTCATTTTTGACTTGCAGTAAACATCAACAACAAAAGTGGGAGAGAATGATTTTGGGTACCATTAATTTTGCAATTAAGCAAAATAGTAGAAATATCCTAATGAGAAAAGAGGTGTGATTTAGACGACCACCACGACGAGGCTAAAATTTTAATGTCGTTCGAGAGGTGAGCACTCTAGTCTCTGAGAGATATCATCAAAATATGCGATTGTTTCTTTCCAACCATATGTTCCAAATTACGGAAAGCCAAGCTACAACGTTACACCTTTATGCTATTTGTGAAAATTTGTAAACAATATTAGGTATAAAAATCTCTTATTTTTCTAGTATTCCAATTCAAATATGGAACGATGATTCAGACCCAATAACTCAAATACCGTACCTATTTGATTTTAAGCAGCTAACAAACACAGATCCTTTAGCTGTATGATTTTATAAGTTTAATTTTGGAAGTTCAACTTACAAATGAGCTATCGAAAATGTCGGTGTATTTTCTGGTGCAAGTAGCTGGAATCAATCAAAATGTTTAAACATGCTTGCATATCTTTAAAGATCGATCTCCAGACATAGCAGTTGAGATATATTTATAATGAATGATAAGAATGATGATTAAGCAATGATGGGATGGAATTAATAGTAATTAAGTGAAGAAGTTGGTGGGGTTGAATCACATGGTGAGGCAATGGGAGAGATGGCCCACAAGAAAAGGATAGAGGGAAATGCAGGGCTATTGGTATCCATGGATCCTACCTTAAATCTAAATCAATCAGTTGTGGCACTTTGGGACAAGACAAACCACACAACTTGGCTGCTCAGGACTCTGTGTTGACATGCCCTTTCTCTATTTTAACCTATTCCTCTCTCTCATCAATGCCCTTGACATGATTTTTCATACCCTTTCCCCTCTCCCATTTCTTCTCTTTATTTTATTATAATTCATACACTTCTATTTCCACTTTACTTTCTTCAACTTTTAATCTCTCAAACTTTGCATAATAAGTATTTTTCTTCATTACTATTAAATTCATTTTGAAACTTTTGACACCTAACCTATAACGTGACACCCCAACTGTTCGTGAATAAACTGGCACCCTATTAGAATGAGAGAGATTTTAATACTATGCAAAAAGTATGGTTAAGAAAGGATTAGAAGAACTATTTATAAATATTATTTATATCAACAAAGTGTACATTTACATTTTTTTTTTTGTCGATGACGATTCATTAACTATAAACTTTAGGTACCATTGTGAAGAAAAGAGAGAGGCAATTGTCCCTCCCTTGATCTATTATATTTCAAAAAGTCTATCCAAAGTATGTATAGTTACTAATTTGTCCTCCTAAATTTTCAGAATTGAAATATTTTATATATACAAAGTTAACGGGTAAAAACTTTTCCTGATAAAATTTTGGAATTGAAATATTTTATGTACAAAAAGTTAATTGATAAAATTTTACCCTTCTCTAAGAAAATTTCTAGTTTTGCCCCTTAACTTTAAGGTTAAGTAAGCGTGTGTGTCTATATATATATATTAACAAAGAATGTTGAAAGTAATAGAACGTGGGAGCTAATGCAGCTTCAAAAGTTTATCTATTTAAACATATACCTATTAGAGTAAATAAATAAATAAAAATGTGTTTATGTTGGGTTTTTATAAATTATTTAACAAAAACCCGAGTGGCTAAAATAGTTTTTTTTTTCTTTTTTATGTAATGTTTAGGGCTATACATATTCTTGATGATTAGAATTGAAAAAAAATGTAAAAAAGGTAGTAATCATGAAGCTTTGAAGTTTAGTTTTGAATTTTACTGTCGGACATTTTAAGACCGACATTACAATTCTATCCTAAGATATAAAAGAATCAAATTCATGTAAATAGAGAAAGAACAAATCTCAATCACGTGTAATGTGTTTTCTTCCTTTGAATTTAAATGTAAAGGACAAACACGCATTTTTCTTTTTCATTTTTTAATCTTGAGATCTACCATGTGCCAGAACTAAAATCAGAAGAAAATCAATTAAAGATGGAAATATACGTGTGCATCTGGTAATTATGGGCTCATTTGATAACGTTCATGTTTCTTCTTTCTGATTGTTTATTTTTAAGGGATTAGTACGGTCTATTTAGGAAACCTAATTAGGATTGAAAGTTCTAGAATTTACACTTTTGTCTAACGTAATTCCCAAAATAGATGCTACCCATAATAGAAATTACTAATATATCCATCTCAATATTAAATCATTAATAAAATATGAAATTGGTAAATAATTATTAAAATATATCAAATCTCTAAAATTAAGCTAATTCAAATTTCCAAAATTGAGATTTTTAGAAACCCACGATTTCGTAACCTCTTCATCTCCATCGGTTTCTCCCTCTTCACTACTGCAACCGTAAGGTTTCTCCACCTTCAAGGTTCTCGTCGCATTTCTCAAGAGATTTCTCCGACGGGTGTTTCTCCATTCTTTGCAGAAGATATCTCCGGCGGCCTCCCTCGCATTTCATAGGGCAGCATCGTCACGCTTCTTCGTCTCCGGCGACTACGTCGACCCATTACACTGTAAGTTCTAATTTCATCTTCTTCCTCCATCGCATGAGCAATCCAGTCCGTCATGTCCCCTTATACCGTATTTTATGCTATATTTAGGTTTCCATTTTGCACAGAAATCGAGGTATATAGTTCTTACTGTATATGCTCAATTTAGGTTTTCATTTTTTGACAGAATCTGTTGCTCTCTGGTTTCATTATCTCTTGCTATCTGCTATTATCCTTTATAACGGTGTATATTGGAGTATATATAATATAGTGATACTGATTAGGATATATAATATATATCTAGATTAAAGTATCTCCATATATACCAGTGAAACAATTTCCATGGAAAATGTATTAGGATATATAATATATCTCTAGTTTACAGAGGACTTTCGGTATTACATTGGTATATACGAGTATACTTTTCTTTATTGGTTTGTTCTGAGTAATGTATGTATGGTGATATATAGTGTTTAGATAAGGATATATATTATATCTCAAGATTTATGTATCTCGATATATACGGATGGTGATTTAAAGTTAAAAATCTATTGGATATATACTGTTAATGATTTACATCAATACATACAAATAAATTTTATATCTCATAAGGTTTAGTCTATGTTATATCGGATATATTATATATTCAATATATTATACTTTATACCATGTCTTATAGGACTTCATATTGACTTTCAGAATGAGCCTTTACTATTTTACATGTTTTAGGTGGATATATATTAGTTCAATTACGTTAACATGGTCAAGTGCAAAGGGCTACTAAAATAAAAAGAAAGAAGAAGAAGTAATAGGTTACTTAACCATTTTGAAACACTATTGTAGCACCGTGTACCATAGCAGAAATCGAAGAGAAAATGTTCGTAACACCGTAGCAGAAGACAAGGATGTTGTCCTGGACAGTGAACGAAGAAGAAAAACGGAAGAAAAAATGGAAGAAGAAACGGGATACCTTGGACGTGAAGGAAGAAGAAAATCGGAAACAATGGAGGAGAGATGAAATAAATCTTTTTTGAGGGATTTGGAGGAGAGAATTAAGGAATTTGAATTGACAATTACTATGGGACCCACATTTATTAAAGGATTGTGATATTAACTTATGGAAATAACAATTTTATATTTCAAAAAATCAAAATCTCTAAATAAATGAAAATGCAATCAATAGGGGTAAACTCGGAATTAAATTAAAATCCTACCTACAGAAATCTAAAAGTGTAAATTTATAAAAATTTAGACATTTATGTAAATAAATTTCTAAAATAGCCCCCGAAGATATTATCTCAATTTTTAATGAAAGAAAAATATATTGCATGGTTCCAATCTCTAAGAATTCAAGTATGATAAAATAATATTTTTATTTATATTTTAGAATAAATTGTAAATTGGAACAAGAAAGAAGAAACTTATTTTAGTTGTTTCTAAAATTTTTATACAATTGTGAGAATGTTCCTAGAAAAGAAGAAACAGTACGTTACCAAACAGAGCTCTATGTTTCTTGTTTCTAATTTTATTAAGAAGCCTAAACATTTTGAAAACTATTTATATTTCTTATTTCTCTTTCTTTTTATAATCATTCTCAAAATTATATAAAAAATTTGAAAACTACAAAAATAAGTTTCTTTCTTGTTTTGTTTTTGTTCCGTTTCTAATTTTTCGTGTTTTTCATTTCTTTTATGAACATTCTCAAAATTATATAAAAGTTTTGAAAACAACAAAAAAAAACTCATTTAAGGAGTTTCTTATTCTCATTTCCAATTTTGTTCGAAAACATAAGTAAAAAAATATTGTTTTATCATTCTTCCATTAGTTCTTGAGTGTGGTGCAATCATATTTTTCTTTATTAAAAAGGAAGAACCATAAACAATAAACAAGAACATTACCAAATCAGTCCTAATTCTGAGTGTGATTCCAACTCGATATTTTCACTTAAGTTGTTCTATTTCAACCAAACAAAGAATCTTGCTAAAACATTGATAAGTCAAATTCAATATGCATGCTTTCCACGTCTCATTCACAAAAAACAAGCTAATTAAACAAGATAACTCTTAAAAGTTAAAAACAAATTATACAAGCCAAATTCATAAACATCTTAACGGTATGAATTTAACTTATGAATTTAACTTTTGGTCAAACATTGATGGCTAATCCAATCTCAATCTCTCACATATTTGAGCTTTAATCATACAATCGGTAGCTAATGAAGTGTTAAAACAAATTATACTATTTAAATTGTAAATAAAAAATATGCTAGAGAAATGAATTTTGTATTTTGAAGCTTGAAGCTTGAACAACGGATACATGAAAACATGGGTGTCAAATGATGTTGGTAGAATAATGTTCCACGGATCAACTTCAAACAAGCTTCCGAGGAGAAATTGATGTCCGGCCCACTGGGCCTGAAATAAGGCCTATGCTAACCCAAACGGCCCATTACAAGTGGGCCTTAAGCCCTAAGACGGAAGTCAGGCCCACAAAGTAAGTCTGATAGAAGGAAATGATGCCAATGATGCTGAAGGGCTTCACTAGCAAAAGCAGCCCATATTCATATTTTCAGACAAAATATCAGCCATTGGTTGCCCAAGACCAAGAGCAAGCCAACACGAATGCAAATCCTGAATAAACTGATAAATCACTTTAACCACTAAAATTCTTCCTCTCCAATCGTTTTCTTTCCCCTCTTCCTCTCTTATCCAGAAAAACTTTCCTAAACTCTCTTCCAGCAGAAGGTCCCCCAATTCCCACTCATGGCACTTTCTTCTTTTTCCTCGCTATCAGTCAAATGCATACCCATTTCTTCTTCATCTAAATCAAAGCTTCCCAGTTCTCTGCAACCCAGAAAAACAATTTCCATAGTCTCTCACTCTCGACTAAACCCAGAAAAGACTCAAACTCAAGGTGAGTATGGTATTCTCTTTATTTCTATATTTCTGATAGCAGCTTCTGGATTCCATGTTTGTTACCTTCGCTCTGCTGACTTATATTTCATTGAAAAGGAAGATTGTTTGGAGAAGAAACACATTGGTAAGATTTCAGAGCCTAAGAGATGGCAAAAGCTGGTATCGACTGCTTTGGCTGCTGCTGCAGTCATTAGTTTTAGCTCAGGCATGCCTTCAATTGCTGAACTCAACAAGTATGAGGCTGATACACGTGGTGAATTTGGAATTGGATCTGCCGCTCAATTTGGATCTGCAGATCTCAGGTCTTTAGGCTTTCAAGAGACTATTCACAGTTCCTTTATTGTCAAAGTGGCTGACCAACACTATGCTTATGCCAATTTTCTTCTTTGGGCAGGAAAGCAGTGCATGTGAACGAAAATTTCAGGTAGCCTTCTCATTGTTTCATCATATCTTTGTGCCCTGATGCTTGATTCTTCAAGTCCCTATTTCTAAAAATAGTCACAATGGAAGAATTTTAAAGAAACTATAGCTCAACTTCGTTGGCCCGAAGGAATACTGAAATGAAATCTTGAACTAATCCATCCACCCATTTCTAACATTTGATATACAGAGTCTTAACTTTGAAATGATAACTTAGTTCCAAGTGAGTTGAGAGACTTCATGATTTAAAATTTCCAGAGCAATCTTATACTTGGTTCTTACCGTTGAATCAAATGACTGTAACAGAAGAGCCAATTTCACATCTGCTGATATGAGGGAATCAGATTTCAGTGGTTGTACATTCAATGGCGCATACCTTGAGAAAGCTGTTGCATACAAAACAAATTTCTCAGGTAATTTTCTTATCAATTAACATGGCCTCTTTGAATGGCATAAGACTCATTCTTTGGATGTATACATTAAATCACAGAAAAACTTGATCAAATCATAAATCTTGAAGTTCTTCGCCTTCGCAAATTCTCTTAGTTGGTTTCGATTTACAAATTCTCTTGCTTTGTCTCCATGGGCAATTTGGCGCTGCCGTCAAAGCCTGCACCACGACCCTTTTCTCCATAGATTCAGGGCCAGTTGCAACAAGTATTCCTCCCTCGGATTTCTCATCGTCAAATTGTCTAGAAAACTTCCCCCCTATATTTATATCTTCATTCCCAGTTGCCTTCCTTGTTGTATCCTCCAAAAGATTATGGTCTTCAGACTCTGTTCTGCTAGTGATTGGAGACTGCAACCAAGACTTACACGGATTGGCTCCGGAATAACTTGCAGCATTTAATTTCTTTGCAACTTTGGTTGATGCTCCATACCAATGTCTCTTTTTAGTTCTTGAACTATTGTTCTGCAAGCATTTTGAGCCATGTTGAGTTCTAACCCGAGGAGCACCCGTCCCGCACCCGGGAGGAAAGCTTCTAATTGCTGAAAAACCCTTTCGAGGTGGATGAAACTTAGGCAAGCTGTCCACAAGTACAACATGTTCCTTTGGAACATTGACTATCTCATCTTCATTAGTACTTAAAACAGTAAGAGTGTCAACTATTAGTGCTGAATCAAGTACTGCATCCTTCATAATAGAAACAAAGGAGTTCTCTGGTTCCACCATCCTAGAAATTAATCTATGATTTCTACAACACTCCATCACAAAATCAAGAAGAGCATAAATCTTTTGATGCTGAACCTCCATCGAAGCCTCTGAAGTTGAAGACTCCATCGTGTTGCTAATTGAAAGCCTAACCCATAACAAAGTAAATCAGAACACAAGTCCAACCAAAACAAGATCAAAATAACTAAATCTAGAATCACAAGTGAAATAAAATAACCTTAGTAAATTATTACATTACATCAATGATTCATTAGATTATATTACTTTAAGTTACGAAGAAATCCACACACTCCTCTCCCCACACCTATCACTCCCGGGTCAAAATCATCCGCCAATCCTGAACAACCGAACCCGAGGAACATTTTATTTTTGTTTATTGTTAAACGGACAAGAACGCGAATAAGCTAGGATATAAATGCAAACAGAAACAGATTAATCAGATGGAGATTTGAGATGCACGATTTATGGAGATCTCTGCTTTGGAAATAAGAACGAAATAAAATAATTGGAAGAGAAAATAGAGTAAGATCCAACCTTAAAATCAAGAAAAGTGTTCTTATCTTGTCCCCCAATTTCTAGGGTTTGCTGAACTGCACGCTCCCTCTCCTGTCCTGTCCCATTCTTTTGGGCCTCCGTTGAAACTGAAATTTTGTTGCGACAAATGAATGTCAATTTTGTTGCCAAGAGGAAACAAAATCACTTCTTCATTTATAACTTCCACTCATACGATACGACGTAGCCTCGGCGGAAAAGGAAACCATTCCCTTTTCGTATTTAAAAATTACATATTTTAAATATTACACATAAGATAAGTTTTAAACGTGGACATTGAAATGGATATTTTTAAAATAATTATAAAAATAAAAAAATATATAAATTAATAATTATACTCAACTTGTGAATGTACCTATTCTCACTCCTACCTATTATACTCAAAACTAAATAAATAAAGTAGGGATAATAATATTTATATTATTTCAATCTTATTTTAATTATTATTTCAGGCGCAGATTTGAGTGACACATTGATGGATCGAATGGTAAGTAAGAAAATAAGACGCTTTCGTTTTTTTAAATATAGTGTCATTTTAAAATATAATTTTATTTTTTAAAATATAGAGTGAAATTTGTAGAGATTGGTCTTTGAATTGATGTGTTGTATATCAATCTTTCCCCAAATTTAGGTTAAAAAATATATTTAATCCCTGTACTCTCGCTAAAATAACAATTCAGTCCCTAAACTTTAGTTTGTAATGATTTAGTCCATGTATTTTCAAATTGGTAACAATTTAGTACTTGATTTAATATGTAACAATTTAGTGCTTGTAATTTAAAATTGGTAACGATCAATCCTTATCATAATTTTTTTTATTAAGTTTCCTGTATGTATAGATTGATAACTAGAGAGCGACCAAATATGTTTATGAATTAGAAAGGTTAAATTGTTATATGATAAAATTTTTGACACATAATTTAATAAAAGATTTTGCAATATGGACTAAATTGTTACAAATTTTAAATTACAGAGACAAAATCGTTACAAGTTAAAGTTCAGGGACTAAATTGTTACTTTCAAGAAAGTACAAGGGGTTAAATTGTTATGTCAATTACCGCCGTTGAGCTATACTCGCTTTGACAATTTCCTTTATTTATTAGTTAAACATCAATCATTTTTAAGATTTAAAAAAAAAAACTTTGTTTAAGGTATGTGTATAGGGTTATATTGAATGTCATATAAGTATGATTATGATTTTTTTTTATATAAACCATGATTATGATTTAGTTCTTAGTATAAACACTTTAATTTAGATGATAGATATATATATAGTTTATGATAAGATTACATGATATATTATATTATGTGAGTTTATAATATCAATGTATCACGTGACCATATTTAACATCTAAAAGAATAACCTCAAATAGCGGGTCTAAAATATTAAAACTTTACAAATAATGCGGATATATATAGGTTTTGAATGAAGCAAATTTGACCAATGCGGTGCTGGTTCGATCGGTGCTAACACGCAGTGATCTAGGCGGGGCCATTATCGAAGGTGCCGACTTTAGCGACGCTGTCATAGACCTTCCCCAGAAGCAGGTTCTTTCCGCTTTGCTATATTACAAATTTAGTCCTTATTTTAAGGAGTCTCTAACTTTTTAAAATGTATGGATAATCTTTGCAAAATTTCGAATAGGTAAGAAATTTGTGGAGTAAAGGTGTGATTGTGTGTAATTACAGGCCCTTTGCAAGTATGCAAGTGGGACGAATCCGGTGACTGGGGTGAGCACGAGAGCAAGCCTAGGGTGCGGAAACAGCCGGAGAAACGCGTACGGAACGCCGTCGTCTCCGCTGCTGAGCGCACCGCCGCAGCAGCTGCTGGACCGCGACGGTTTCTGCGACCAAGGCACAGGTCTCTGTGAAGCCACTAAATAATTAAAATCACAATTAATTCATTAATTATTTATTTGAATCTCCCACAACTCACAACTCTCCATCAAATCTCTTTTGTACAAATTAATTAAAATAACGCTTACGCTTCTACACTGCACCAAATGTTTGAATCGTCCAACAGCTACCGTTGGAACTTGTCATCATTTTTTTTTTCTTTCCTTCTTGCATTTCTTAATTCGAATTAGTAGAGCAATCTTATTCCTAGAACTCAACTGAATCAATAATTCGTTGCTTTAACAATCTAACTAATTGATCAACTAAGTAACTAATTAACAATACAACCTAAAAGAGCGTATATGTAGTATAGTTTCTACTTTCTGATTACACAACGGGCAAACAGGAGAACATCCAACCCCTCTTATTTAAATTTCAATTTGATAACATTATATTTTTTGGAAGGGGGTTGAGGATTAATTGGATGATACATGTAATATTATTAGAGTTAGTTAACAAATTTGGTTTAATCGGTTGCTTTCCGTTAGTTTAGCTTTCTCTTTCTGTACATAGTATATATATTGTCCTTATTCATTAATAATATTTAGATTATATTTACTCTTTTTGAGTTTAATACAGTATCAGATGTGAATTCTCTCTCTGAGTTTTTCTTCCGTGTGACATCCACGTTCTCCATGGCTACGCCTTCGGACACTACTCCGGATTCATCTTTGTCGAATTCGTCTCCATCTTCCTCTGTTCTTCATGAACAGTATGCTAATCCATATTTTTTACATCATTTGGACAATACCAGTATAGTTGTTGTTTCCGATTTGCTAACATATGAAAACTATACTTCAAGAATTTGGTCTATGACAATTGCTCTTACTGTGAAGAACAATCTAGGGTTTGTGGATGGTTATATTGCTGAGCCTACTGATGCGTCTCTCAATGCATGGATAATTTGCAATAATGTTATTATTGCGTGGATTTCTGAATTCGCTCTCCAAAGAGATCTCTGCCAGCGTACTGTTCTCTGATTCGACGAGAGATATTTGGTTCGATCTCAAAGAGTGAGTTCAACGCCAAAATCGGCGGGAGATCTTTCAACTTCGTTGCGATCTGTCGAATTTGCACAAGATCAGTTATCTATTAGTTCGTATTTTACTAAATTGAAGACTCTCTGGACAGAGTTGGTGTCTTATCACCCTTCTTGTATCTGTGGTGCTTGTTCTTGTGTGGAGTAAAGGCAATTACGGAGTATTTTCAAACGGAATATGTTATGTCTTTTTTATGGGACTAAATGACTCTTTAGTCAGATTCGTGCTCAACTCCTTCTCATGGAGCCCGAGCCTACCATTAATCGGGCTTTTTCACTTGTCGCACAGGAAGCTCAACAACGATCTATCTCTGTTTCGTCGGCGAGTGTCACTTCCCCTACTGCTTTTCTTGCACGTACTTCGTCGGCTTCTTAGAAAATAATTCCAGTGCGCGCTCCTTGGTTAATTCTCAAGGCTGTAAAAAGGAGCGATCCCTTTGCACTTATTGTGGTCTTCATGGTCACACTGTGGAACGTTGCTATAAACTCCATGGATATCCCTCTTGGATATCGTTCTAATGTCAATCGTCCTCCACCTTCTTCAGTCTCTAAGGTTACTGATGGTTCTTCATCTTCTATTGCTGCATCGAGTTCGACTATTGCTGATTCTTTAGCCAGTCTTAATTCTGATTAGTGTCAAGGACTGTTGAATCTCTTGCAACTTCATCTATCTAAGGCGAAAATTGATCCTGGTTCTTCTCATGTGGCAGGTATTTGTCACTCTTTATACTCTGAGATTTCTGTTGATTCTTGGATAGTTGATTCAGATGCTTCAGCACACATCTATTTTATGCGTGAATTTTTTAGTTCCTTGAAGCCCGTATCTGGTTGTTCAATAACATTGCCTAATTAGTCTTGCCTTGTGGATTTTATTGGTACGGTTCAGTTAGGACCTGAATTGATCTTACATGATGTCTTGTTTGTCCCTGACTTCCGATTTAATCTCCTATATCTGTCAATGCATTGACTAAGGCTTCAACACTTATGGTTACATTTGTTGACAATTCTTGTCTTCTTCAGGACAAGTTATCTTTGAAGATGATTGGCAAGGGTGATTTTTGGCATGACCTCTATCTTTTTGACATCAATTCATCTGCTGTTACACATACTGTATGCTCTACTGTTTGTAATTCTTCATTGGATGTTTGCCATGCTTGTCTTGGCCATCCGTTTGTCAAACATTTGTCTGTCCTGAAGGATGTTTTACCAATTTCAGATTTAGATGCTTCTAAAAATAAGTCTTACCTTGTATGTCCATTAGCTAAACAACGCAGACTTTCTTTTGTTTCACACAATAATATTGCAAGTAATTCTTTTAATCTAATTCACTGTGATATCTGGGGTCTATATCAGTCTCCCACACATGCTGGATTTCGATTCTTTCTTACACTTGTGGATGATTATTTTTCCCGTTATACATGTGTATTTTTAATGAACAGAAAGTCTGATGCTTTGATGCCAGTTCCTCGTTTTTTTCGTCTTGTTAAGACTCAGTATGGTAAGAAAATAATGCCCCTGAACTGTCTTTTACTGATTTCTTTCATGCTAAGGGTGTTGTTCATCAATTGTCTTGCGTCAGACGGCCTGAACAGAACTCTGTTGTTGAATGAAAGCATCAGCACTTGTTAAATGTGGCACGTGCTCTTTTCTTTCAGTCTAGGGTCCCTATTAAGTCTTGGGGTGAATGTGTCCTTACCGCATGCTTTGTGATCAATCGTACCACTTCGCCTGTCTTGAATTGGGCCATTCCCTTTGAACGGTTAAATGGTTTTCTTGCTGACTATGGTTTCATAAGGGTGTTTGATACTCTTTGTTTTGCCTTTACACTGCCGTTGCATCGTTCTAAGTTTCATCCACGTGCTGTGCTTGTGTTTTTCTTGGTTATCCTCCTGGATGATGGGTTTTCGGTTATATGATATTGAGAGTTGCATAATTTTTGTTTTAAGAGATGTTGTGTTTCACGAAGATGTATTTCCTTTTCATTAGTTGCCGCATGATCATGTTAGTATTGACCCTTTCCCGGATATTGTTCTTCCCAAATCATTTGATTTCTCTGTGGATTCTATGGACGGTGTGCCTCATCATGGTGTTCAAATTGTTGATGGTTTTTCTGCTCATGTTGATATGCCTACTTTTGAGCGATCTAATGACCCTAATGTTGATGTTTCTATTGTTAATGCTCATACTGATGTGCCTGATGTTGGTCTTAATATTGAGTCTTCTGCTACTTGTGATGCCAATACTGATGTTACTATGCTATTGCTGATTTTCATGGTGATGTTTCATGAGGGTGATGTAGCATAAATTGCTTACCGCAAGTGTACGGGTCAAGTTTTAATAAAGGTGGTAAGTAATTACCGATATCGTCTACTGGATTGGGTTTCTAGTCACTCAAGTACTACGGATCTTAATGTCCAATTTTATCTAGAGAAACAATCAGGAATTTCTTTTGACACACAAAAGATAAAATAACAAAGTGAATAAAAAGTCTCTAAGAAAACTCTTATGGAGAACGGGTCCTAGGGAAATGATTTCACCAATTGAACTTACAAGCGGACAAATTAAACATGCCGAGATTGAATATGCAATTAMTCTATAAGTCAAGAAATCAAGAATCATAAAAGTCTCTCCCGAGCACAATTAATTCTCCCMYTTATTAHGAAACCAATATCYCTATCTAGTTTCATTAACAAACAGGGTCTTAAGTCTTAATCTTTTAACAACCTCTAAGATAATTCTAAATCTCCCGATCTTAGAACTACCCCAGTCATGCATTCAGGTTCCAACCTAAACCACCTCTCCCGAGCATAAAATTCAGATTTGGCAACAATTAATCCGTGATCAAGAGATTAAAATCATTAAGCAAATAAATGCATAAATAGATTAAAAAAAAATCAATCGAGACAAAGTTAATAAATCAAACTTATAAATCCAACGGCTACGTCAATCCCTAGAACAAGAAGATTAGCTACTCATGTTCACCAAAATACAATAAAATCCTACAAAGAACTTCATAATAA